GTTCACAAGGTGCCAGAGTTATCGCGTAACATACGTCCAAAAATTTAGGACCTACTCCTTTTTTGATGTCGGTTAATAGTAGAACATTTCCGAGGAGCCCTTTCTGTTGATTCCGTCGACGACTTCGTCGAGTTAAGTTTTTAAGTTTAGTTTTTTCTTTCTCTCCCTTCATTTATTTCCCTTTTGCATAGTGGTTGCAAAATTTTCCTACGTGTATTTATTTTTTCCCACAAAAGTGTCTAAGTAAATAATATATATAATTATCATAATTTTATTGTACGTATTATTTTTTATAATTTTTATTTCATTTATATTTATTATATTAAAATTATGAAAGGAGGTAGTTATGTACTCACTATACAATCAATATATGGACTAAGTGTATAAAAAAAATACGAAATGAAATGAACGGTAACTTAATATTTGCTAGCAACATTGCAAAGACAATAGCAATATTGCAAAGACACTAACAACATTGCATTAGGTACATAGTATTGCAAAATAAATTTACATCAATGAACAATAAAATGAGGCGCACACGCGCGTCTATGTTATTGAACATTATTCCTGTGATCACGTTTCTCTCAATGTACATTATAATGAAAATATTGCGTTAAAATTTAGCGCTATATATTCTACATGCCCATAGGGTATTTAAAAAAATACGTCTTTCATACAAAACTGAAGGCATACCTGCTTGGGCTTGAAGCACGTAATTATATTTCAAGTGAGCGTTTAGCGCTTTTTTCATTGTAGTATGCTGGGTCGGAGTTTGTAGTTTGTAGAAGTTAAAGACAGTTAATTGGTATCCCAAATGTCTATTGGCGGCTGTATTAATTTTCATTCATGTGGCCCATATGACTATTTGCCGCGCAATCTCCCTTATAAGCCACGGGAAGCGTTTTAAGTAAGTACGTGAATGTGATAATGACACACCATTATCATATAAATTTTTAGTAGCAGGAGAGCTGCTTGTGAAAAATTCGTCCAGGCAAGTGCTGTCACGTTACCTATTTCTGCCGCCATGCAGTAATGCGAGCATTACTGAGTTCCAGTTTGGAGGGGTAGCAATGCTGGTGAAGTTACAGGCACATGTGACTAATCAACTTATGTCTCAGGATGACAGGCTCAGTGGCAGTGCCCCTAAGATCTTTGCGAAAGCGCTGAGTGACACTGCAACTGTTATGGATAGGCGTGTCGCTTACCACCATGCGCAAGACTTGTTTGTTCCGTCACTTGGTATTATTAAAAAAAAGCATTTTAAAAACTTTCATAATTTTTTTTATACTTTCAACTCGTTCAAAGGTTACAATCTAATGGAAATTCCAGAATGAAAATAAATTAAACCATGAGTCAGTTAATTTCCAAGTAACAGTCATATAGTAAATAATCTAATATTACATATTCATGCCACACTTATCTGTTATCAAGTGATGTTGGTTACAGTTTATGCTCGCGAGTTTGCTCGCTCCATATTTCTATACATTGGCCGAACTGCTGAACCTCGGTGCTATCAAAGAATCTTATAGCTACTATAGTGTAATGTAACCGGATCAGAGCGAAACGAAGACGCATAGAACTAGAGGCTGGAATCAGACTAACAGATGTTGGCATGTGTAACCTCATATTGTCAAAGCCTAATAGTATCCTGGCCAATGGAATGTATCATTTAATACTCAAGTTATTTAAAACTAGATCTATGTAGTATTTCTTTAGTATATATATGTAAGTGCGCATTTGACCTGCATCTCACTTGATGGAAGGTGACAATGAGGTCGATTTTGGACCATGCAAACCTAAATTATACCTATTCACTCTCGGCTTGAAAAGGTCCAAGTTATAACGCTCAGAGAACAAGTCTGCAGACAGGGAATTCCACTTCATAGCCGTTCGTCACATAAACGTGGAAGCGTAATGCTTCGTATGAATCTTTGGAACATCCACAATATAGGGGTGGAACCCAAGCCTACGTTTAGTCCCCCAATGATGGAAAGGGGAATTGTGTATTTTCATCGCACACTCTCCGTGATATATCCTGTAAAATACCGATAAGCAGCCAACTTTACGGCGGTGGTCAAGGCACTGCAGCTTCGCCTCTACTAATTCTGAGTTACCTATAAGCCTCTTGACAAGCTTGTCAATTGAATCTAAGGTGGTCAGTTGGTATGTAGGAGAGCCATCCCAAAGGTTGCAGCAGTACTCCATACACGACCGGACTTGTGCTTGAGAATTGAGTATTAAGGATGCCACAAACATTGACTTACAAATAAATGGACGACGGGTCTAATACAAAAACCACGAAAAAATGTCCCAAGTCAACCTATTTAAACGTAGTGACATGTAAAGGAATATGAAAAAGCTAAAACGTTGAATTTAAATTGTAATGTCATCGCAGTACTGTCTAATTTTGCTTGCTTCGCTGTCAGTCGAACAAACGAAGACTAAAGCGTGAATGACGCTCTGTGTACGATTTTAACGCCCTATAAGTTCGGACACTTTTTAGCGCGGACCCGACGTCCTTATAATTGTAAGTCAAAGGCCACAAAGATTAATATAAACATACAGGTTGTCCTGTTTATGTTGTCATGGGATAGCCGAGTCGTTTTGAGTTTACAAATACTGTGGTGGAAAAATACAATGGTCAAATCTCTTTAATGTTCTTTATTTTGGTCAATGCATAAAATAGGTACGTGTTATATCACTTAACAATAAACAGCTCCAGCATAAAAGGGACATATGACGTACGACATATTTTGACGAAATAACTTGTGTAGGTATAAATGCTATCTTGAAAGTTACCGACTTTCATTTGTGGCAAAATAAAATCAAATTAACGGTTAGTTACTATTTACTGGCAATATTGGAAAGACAATAGCAACATTGCAACAACAATAGCATCATGGCCAAGGTAAAAGCAATATTGCAAAGACAATAGCAACATTGAAAGGACAATAGCGACATTGCACAGACAATAAAAAAATTGCAAAGACCATAGCAACATTGCTATAACTATTAGCACCACTCTACTCATATTACAGATGCTTAGAGATTATATAAACAACCTGTATTAAAAGAAATAAGAGCAAAGAAATTGGTAAGTAAATATATTTAGCAAACTGAACAAAGACAAGCATACGACTCAATCACTGTCAGAAACTTAATAGTAAATAAGTCTGTTAGGATCTTAAGCTATTGCAAGCAAAACTCTTTCCATTGTTCTCCATCCTGCTAGCCTCATAGTTATAAAGAAAAAGTATTAACACAACGGACCTTATCACAAAATATAAATCATAACTTCGTAAGTCTGGCCTGACTGGAATTCTAACAGACGTAAGAGTACGTGTGGACCTTGGGCCTGTGGAAGCTCTGTTATACTACGTATAGTCACGCTATGCATATTTTCTTTGAAATATGCCAACAATAAAATTGAAACTAAATAAGATATAAAAAAAACGCTTATTTGGGGGTTGTAGATAATAAGAATAATAAAATCGTTGATTTATCTCTAAACATTTTATAATTAAATAATCTACTTCACACAGACTTTAGTAATAGCCCCCAAATCTTTCTACATTAGTTTCTTTTTATTATTTATTTATTTACTAAGATTTTCGTTATAGTGACCCTCCCTACCGACCCTTAGGGTATACGAGAAGGGCACCGTGACCTTCCGCGAGCACGTCCGCGCAGATGCCGTCTAAGTACGGTCCTAACACAAGATCAGCCCGTTTGCACGGACTTCAACCGGTTCTCTGTAAGCCTAGTGCCTTATGTGAACCACCCCGGGTGTTCGTGCAGCACCCTCTCTATTTTCCAGATGGGTACCGGAGCTGCAGGCACGGTCGTCTCACTTCCCGTCGCGCTGGTTACCACCGCTGAGCGGTCGACTCTTAGCCGGTTTCCAATAACCTAAGCGGCTGGAAGGACCGGAGGATATCTAGCTCATCCTCTACTAGCTCTCCTGACTTAAAGGGCTACTCACGAGGCCCGCGCGTCTCCTCGCCTCAGGCTCTCAATTAGACCGCTACTAAGACGCGTTCACTGTGCGCGGGCCACATGCTACCGTGCCAAGTTTAGTAACAGACAATAGTGGTGGGGGGTAAAAAGGTTTGTAGCTCAGCACAATGGCGGAGTGATTTTCAGCGCCGCTTCTTCTGCTACAGCTTGCCATGTTCAAAAAGAGAAAAACTAACACACATCTCATTCCAGTTTTAAAATTTCTATCCAATGATTTAATACTTAGCGCAAAATCATAAATCATAATACAGATATTAGTATTTATTATTACATGGACCATTATCCACACATTCAACCACACACTACAATGCCTACCTCCAAGGTTTGCCTAGACAATTACCAGTTAAAACATTACTTACGGAACGTACGCAATGAGAAAATACGACAGACTCGTACAGGCGGGGGAAGATTTTTCCATAACTTGGAAGCGGCGTATTTAAAACTACCCGAAGTCCCGACCAAAGCATAGACAGATTATAAATAATTCTGGTTTCGTTGATTCCAGACTTAAATCAATTTCGCTAAAATGTCGATTACGTTAGTTATGATAAGGATTAAATGTGTTTCCATGACAATTTAGGTGCTTGAGGCCAATAAGGCCTACCGGCCTTTGATTTTTGACGACCTCGCTGGTGCTACGGTTTGAGTGGTGGGCACTGGATGAGGAGGTCCCGGGTTCGATTCCCGGTAGGACCAATTTGGGAAATTAACTTTTCTAAATTGGTTCTGGTCGGGATGTTTTAGGAAGTGTTCCTGAGTGAATTCCATTGCTCTGGTACTCACAGTACAGGGAAATCGCTAGGTGGAGACCAGGCAATTGGTGTGGTTGTCTGACACAATAGAACCTAATAAATATATCTACGAACAAATAATATATCTCTTTTTTATTTAAGTAGTTCTGTACAGATAAGATATGTCAAAAGAGAAATGTAAGATAGACTCTTTCTTAGTATCTATAGTACTGTATAAATACAAGTAACAAACGCTGTGACCCTTCAGTGAAGTTTCGCAAAGTTGTGTCGACTCCACTGAACAAGTCGTTAAGGTAGGCTTTTCGTTATATCAACCTGCGCACCAAACCTGCTAATTTTAAATCATCTCAGTGGCGTGTCGAGAGTGTCAATGGTAGGATTTTGTACGTTTGGCATTCTGCTAAAAATTAAGGGCATTCGCTTGTCACTAGCTTGCCACTAGGGCTTCCTATTTCGCTGCATTTCCGCGTCCCGGAAAAAAATATCGGGTCTCGGTGCGGTCTCGAAATTCCCGGGAAAAACGAGACTGTTTCAAAAGTAGTTTCAAGAGTATTGCAAAACAGCAAATATGCTAGACGGTGTCACCACGCTATTACTCTGGAATTGACTTGAACCGGTTAGAAAACGACTTATTTCCATGCAATAAGATCGGGTTTGGACCGCTGCGTTGCTCCAATTCCAAACGCAGAATTTCTTTTTCGCACTCATTACATGGACATAATTTAATAAAATCATCACACAGACCGTAGAGCCGTGGAACAGTGATGGGTCTGCTTCGTGCAAGTACAACTACATAAGAGTCTAGGTATATATTCAGTTCTGACGACCTCGAATCATACATGGCTTTGTAATACCCGGGGTACAATATATTATTGTAATAAGTCTATTGTGTCCCACTGCTGGGAAAAGGCCTCTCCCCTTTTTGCATTGGTCCCGGTTTTGGGTGGCATCTGGTCAACCCTGTAATTCAACGGACAATGTTTCTCAATTTTATTTACTTTTTTATGATACATCTCAAAGCTATGTCATTCAATGTAGGTACTTACTTGCTGTAACTTATGAAGATAGAACAAGAAATTTATGAAACGCAATAAAACCTGACAATGAGGCTTACAAACCGATTTTTTTTATAGTATCAAGTCATTGGACGAACAAGTCGTGCACCCGATGGTAAACGACACGCCTGTCCATAACAGTTGCAGTGCCACTCAGAGCTTTAAATCGCAAAGTTCTGAAGGGTACTGCCACTGCGCCCGTCACCCTGAGACATATGTTAATAAGTCTCATGTGCCTGTAATTTCGTCAGCACCCTTACCCTTCAAAACTGGAACGCAATAATGCTCATATTACTGCTTAGCGGCAGAAATAGGTAAGGTAGTACTTCTCTGGACGATCTTTTTCAATAGGAGCTCTCCTGTTACTACAATACATAATATATTATAATATAATATCTATAAAATGGATGGAACAGTGAATAAGTAGTGCTCCGTAATTCTCATTTTGAAAATAGCCAAGGATTTACTATCTAGAACAGCAATGGGAAGTGCGTTCCAAAGTCTGACTGCACGAACAATGAGAAAGTGAGAATAGAAACCGGAATTGAAGGATGGAAAAGATAACTGGGACTTATCGAATGAGCGACAGGGTTTCTGTTTTAAAGCCTTATTGGCAAATATCTTTCTATCTTCTATCTTTTTTCAGATGAAAACCACTATTTTCCTAGTCGTGTTAGCAGTATTGTCTGCTAACACCGCATTGGTGCCCAACCCGGCTGTACCACGGCAGGTTGCCAGCAGGACAAATCTGATTATTGGTCACATTGGACCTTATGACAGGCTTTATTACAGGTTAGCTCTTTCATTAATTATACAAGTAACATTTTTTTATCCCACAACGCGTTGGGAGGTAGTTCTACTCATCAAAACGAACAACTTTTACACAGGAAACGCCTCTCAAATCGCGAAAAACAAATCTATTGTGCCATACAATGTACTGATGTTACTAATCACAATTTTTTTATATTAAAAGCCGGTTACAGAAGTTTGTGGAGTTACAACTATTTGCCACGTTTTATTATAATCGGTTAACGGAAATCTAATAAAGTGGGTGAAATCTAATAAATCGGAGTCACCATAGTGGTGAGGTATGAAAATTGTCGTTAGTAAAGCTGGAGCATAACAAGAAGCACTTCCCTTAAGAAAAATGGCGCCTTGCCAACACTTAAACACAACGTGTTAGCACATAAGGTGCTAGTGTAATTCATTTCATCATTAGAGAAACTCCTCCTTTTTAAAGTCGGTTAATACAGAAGAGGTGGTAGTATAACTTGTGTCTTAAAGCCTATCAAGTGAAAAGCAAACTGCAACAACAAGCAGAGTAATTGCAGCAACAACTTTAAATAATGGACTTAATCAAGTTCTGAGTGATTCAATTAAAAATTCGCCAAACAAGCTAACAATCCAATTATGATTGGGATCCGCTTTTTGAATGTAGATGAAAATGGGACAGTTGATGTTTTTTAACGTTTTGATGTTACCTGTACACGGTGTCAATTTGTGTCTGTAAGTCTCAACGAACTTTGTCAAGTTTAAGTAAGAAATAACGAAGTGACAACGAACAAATCGTGCGCTTAGTGTTAAACGACACGTCTGTCCATAACAGTTGCAGTTCCACTTAAAGTTTTAAATCGCAAAGATTCTTGGTGAACCATTTTGCAAGATTTTGGAGTCGTGTGGTTTTTCTACGGCCACGTCTTCTACTATTTTCCACTCCTTTGTAAGTAGGTTCAATTCCTCAATTATTTTGCTCCAGAACCTACCTCAACCAAGCACCACTCCCGAATGCTGTTCAAACCCAAGACGTCGTCTTCCGCGGCACAACATACAACAACATCACCGCCGTGTATGCCCTTGAAGTAGGCTACACTCAATATGCTCAAGCCTGGATTCTCAGTGGAGGAATCGGGAGAAACAACGTGACCGTCAGAGCTCAGAGTGCTAGGGGCTACGGTTTTTATTACCAGGTTGAGGTCTGGGGTCGTTAATAAGTGTTTTGAATAAAATGGTTTTTACTTTATAGTTCCCTTTCTTAAAATACCCTACGTTGTTAAACCAGATAATAAACATGCATGAAGTTCAATAATTATTGATACATAACCATAGACAAAACATGCAATACTTCAGGGACGCTGTTACTTCTTTACTTTAGTGAAGCGACGTACTTTTTGGCTCCGATATTTTTATCGAGCCGACAGATTATGTAACGATTATTCTAGTTGATTTCTCCATCTTATATATAGGTTTAGGTACCTGTATAAAAAATTACAATTAAAATTATGAAATTAAAAATATTTGGAATAAATTCTAATTGTTTATTATAATGAATTCTTCTTCATATGAACTGGAATCATCCCTTGAATCTTCTGTAACATTTGTTTTATTAATTCATTGTGAATGTAAACCCGCTTACATTCGCGATTAAAAGTTCTTCATAAAGAAAATAGATTGTAATAAGAAATCGAATCGGTAACGCATACGACCATCAGTAATTGGTAAGTACTAGAGCTTTTCTTATTGCCGAAGTGCTTATATTGATTTAATATGGCCTCAGTATCAGAATTCAGTCATATGGGTCCTGTACGAAGCGAAATCCAGTCCCGTGCTCGAGCGTATCCCGAACATATTCATCAGATACTTATACCTGTATGTATACCTGAGACTTTATGGGGTAATACCTAACGTCAGTATTGTTTCTTCCATCAGAGTGGGACACCTGTAAATTTATTGTTTTAAAAATAAAACATATGTTTGTGATAGTTACGAAATGTTTAACGTTAAAAAAACATTAAAAAAGGAACTAAAAATGTTTAATGTTCAAAACTTTTTTTGCTCATTTTTTAAATTTATTCACGTGTGTCCTGTTTTGTCAAAGCGGGACATTTATACTATTTTGGGGACACCTGGACACGGAATTTAAAAGCGGTACGCATGGTCACGTTAGGTATACCCGTTCTATACCTTGATGTACCCAAGCTTGTTTGTATTGGGTATGGTAAGACATAACAAACTGGAAGTATTTCAAAACTAGGAGTATTGCAATGGATAAGTCTATGCATACCCAATGTGTACGTGCACCGGCGTGGGCGGCTAAGGCTGCTGGCAGTGCCGCGCGTCAGGACTAATTTGCTCAACAAGATGTTCAATATAAATAATTGTTATCAAATATAATTAATATCAAACCTTTTAGATTCCCTACGGAGGAACTATATAATCTCAGTCAGGTCTTGACAGTAAGAAAACTGTATATCTTGTCAACAATTTTAAGATTGCACAAGTCTCTACCATTTTTCTCTGATGCAATGACAAGAAGGCGAAAAGACACAGTTGCTAATGTACAGGAAATTAGAACTACTTTTGCACAAAGACAGTACACTTCGCAATCAGCATTTATATATAACAAATTAAATAAACAATTCAATATCTTCGAATTAACTTCACGGAAATGTAAAGAAAATTTAGTAAAATGGCTCGAAACAATCAATTATAATGACACAGAAGCTCTTCTGCAGCATATTTATTAGCTTATAGGCGACACGATTTATATATAAAAGCACGTTAGAACAATTAATAATTATTTCCATACACAGTTATCATACACTACAGCCGCACGCGCGCACACACACACACACACACACACACACCACACATTCCCAAAACACACACACATACATTTAGGTTAAGGTAGGTAAATGTCAACTATTCTTAAGTTTTCTTGATTTTTGTTTGTGTACATAGTCTATAGCATAAGTATGCATGAGTTAAGGAAGAGCGGGACCTCCTGACACAGGTATTTATTTACTTAATAGGATGGTCCCTACCTTTGTTTGTATTAATGGCGACTGTACAATGAATAAACATTTTTGAATTTTGAATTTTTGAATTTTTTTGAATTTTGAATTGAATTTTGTCAGTATATATGCTTTTTCCGAGAAAAAAATTAGTCAAACTTACTTTTGCTATTAGACAGGCAATGGCACTGACATGTATGTAAAAACACGTCGGTGTCCACTGTACTGTCTTAATCTTAAATAATATTTAACAGAATTTTAACAGATATTTGACACGTGAGTATCATGTTTACGTAGTTTTAATACACATTATGCAGGAAATAGAGATACAATCAGAAATAGAGACGAAATGTCATTTAATTTGTTTGAAAACTATTGTGCCAAATCATTATGGTGACAACTGCGCTCCGATTGACCAGCCTGAATTCGAAACAAATGACGGGTGTCGTCAATTGTTTCACTTCAAATCGATCAGTTTAACTTGACCTTTGCTATTATGAACGAAAATTACATATTTAATATTTAATTACCTATGTTTTGCTGTGTTTCCCATACCACCGACTGGAACAGCACGAATTGTTAGAGATATTATCTTCATTACAATAAATACAGAATATTCTTGGAATTTACGGAGACTAACAGACTGTTCACTTGTTGGCGCTGCACTATTTCCGCTTTCTAATTTGTGATTTCAGCGCAAACGAGTGTTGATATTTAAAAATGATATAAGGCCCATTTGATGAATTACTAGGGATGGATGGCCCTTATTTCGTCTCTGATTTTGGTTATATACACGATGCCTTTAATCTACCAGTTCATACAATAAATTTTTCCGATTTCTGATTTCAAAATATGTGTGCATGTAAATAATTGAATTTTGTCAGTACATTGTTGATACTTCTCCATGGAGAAGGCAGCAAGTACATAGAAAACACCTGGAAATGGCATTGTAAAGCCCGTGTAGGTTTTTTGAGAGCCATCTAGTGAAACGAGGCACCCTGTGTTATCTTATTCTGAAATTCAATTTTATTGTACATGCCGTTACTGTTCATGAATGGGTTAAGTCGTTTCAGTGTGATAAATTGACACACATCTTTCTTATTTACAATATAATGGAATGCTTTATGTCAAACAAAATTAGTTTAAAAATTGACGTCATACGCGTACTTTGATAACGTCATTGCCTATTTTGCCCACTTTCTGCCTGAAAAATCATCTATATTTGTACGCTAGTTGGCGTCAAAATTGAAATTTTTAGTGTTTTATTTTAGAACACGGATGCTACTTCCACGGGTTTTCTTTTATAATATCTAGGGACGGGAAGAATAAGTCGTGCGCTTGGTAGAAAGCGACACGCCCATAAATGCAGTGTCACTTACAGCTTTAAATTACAAAGATCTGAGGAGTATTGTCATTGCGCCCGTCACCCTGACACCCTAACATAATTTGACTTAACATAAGTCCCATGTGCATGTAATTTCACCAGCTACCTTACCCTTCAAAACCGAAACAGTAATGCTGACATTACTGCTTGGCGGCAGAAATAGGTAAGGTCGCAGTAATACCCTGGACGACTCTTTCACAAGGAGCTCTACTGCTATTACATAATGCCGCCTCTGTGGCCGAACGGTTACCATGCCGGACTGCCACGCATAGGTCCCAGGTTCGATTCCCGGGCCGAGAGAAACATTTGTATGACCTACATTTATTTCTCTCGTGAGTTTGGATGTAATTTGTGGTTGTCTATGTGTGTGTCCATGGCACCCGCGACACAGGGTTTCCCTAGCGCGGGGCTATGTTGAGTGTGTGGGTTATTAATTATTAAAAAAATGTGTGTTTGTCCCGTATGCATTCCATTATTATTCATCTGATGGAGATAAAATTTTAGTGACTTGTGCCCACGTCTGCAAAAGTCTCCTCCAAGCATAGGTTTAAGGCGAGTCATCAGAGGAGACGCGGGAAAAACTGCTAGATGAAATGGTTTAAGTATTTACTATTAAATAATGGTCTTACAAAATATATACGATACACCTAGGGATATTGTTTAAAGAATGAGCTAATTGTCACACGACAGAATGTACTTTATCCGATCACTCTGCGGAAGATTCGAAGGTAACCTAGACGTATCATACTAACTTACGGAGTTGTGCAGAGTTAAGTTTGTTCCAGTTACTTCCTGTGACGTCACAAGATGAATGATCTTGTATATATATTTTCCAATATATATTTTTTTATAATATCAAGTGACGGGACCAACAAGTAGTCGTGCGCCTGATGGTAACCTATCACAAACTCGAATTTTTTTTTTCTTCGAATTTTCATTACACCGAAAACCGAATTATAACGAAACCGTTGTTCTTTCAGGATATGTTGATTGTTTATCGCAAAGACATGATTAGGTTTGGTTAGGTTACTGGTTAGGTTAAGTTAGGTTTAAAAGAAAAAAACATTTTCCTCTCAAAATTACTTTCGAGGTTATTACTAATAATAAATTATAAATTCGAGTAAACGTTATTTTATAGGTAGCCGCGCCTGTTGGTAAGCTACACGCCTGTCTACACAGTTGCAGTGCCACTCAGAGTTTTAAATCGCAAATATCTAAGGGGCACTGCCACTGTATCTGAAACCCTGAGACATAAGCTGACAAGTCCCATGTGCCTGTAATTTCACCAGCTACCTTACCCTTCAAAACCGAAACAGTAATGCTGACATTACTGCTTGACGGCTGAAATAAGTAAGGTGGCAGTACTTCCCTGGACGAACTCTTTCACAAGAAGCTCTACTGCTACTAAAAATATGTATGTGTACCGTTACTCCAATTAAACAGACGGTCTTAATTTTGAAAATTTAAAAAACCTGTAATTGTATACTGTAACAATAATGTGAATGAGTTTGAAACAAAATAAAATTGTTGATTTTTTTTGATAATAAAGCGTGTTCTATTTGTAAACAGTTATTTTTTATATCCGTATTTTAATTTTTTTGCCCATATTATATGCATATTTTGTAGTTTATATTGCATAGGTATTATTTATCCGAGCGCTAATTATCACCCATTATCATATGGTAATTGGAATCCAGAAATCTTTGATAAACTTTTGATTTGACAGTAAACCACTAGTTGCATAATATATGATTGACTAGGCCCGTGCGCATACCTGAACACTAATTAGTTCTATTGAAGAAAAATAGGCCGTCGTAGGCAACTCAACGGAATATTTTAGTTGGAAACAAAGTTGATCGTGTGCTAGAGCCCTAAAAGACAGTTCACAATTCCTGACAATACTATAACATTGGGAAAATCGCAATTTCCGTTGCAAAACGCAGAAATTGCAGCGATTGCACAGACCTATCTGCAGAAATACAATGATGTTAATACTGTTTAAAGACAGATTTGATTTAAATTTTTTGTCATAAATAATTGGTTTATTTTCAATGAATAAATAAAGTATTAACAC